ATCTCAAATGAATTTTCAAAACTGGTCACTCTTCATAAATATGAAAGTAGGCTGCAGAACATGTTTCTGTTCTTCCAAAATGGCCTCAATAATGCAGAGATGGAAGAAGAATTGGGAAGGGGAGGGAACAACTGCAGTTAGGGGGCACATGACGACGCGGTTGTTCCCCGTCTCGTCCTCTTGTATGAGCCTTCACAGCGAAGAGGAATGCTTCCTATATATAGACTTTCTCTTTGTAAAACTTTGGAACAAAAAGGAGGAGAGGACGTGTCGCGACACAGCCCTACCGCCGCATTCCCCTACCTCCGACTACCTTTGCCTCTACTCCGAAAACTCATCCTTTCTCCTACTGGCCCTCTCTATATCTATCTATCTCTACCCCAAAATTGTAGTTCTAAGCTCTGTCACCATTTGTTTTATTGGATTTGGCATCTGAAGGGGCGAAATAATAGGGAGCAGAGGACGTTTCGCGAGCTCTCTACCGTCGCGTGTCCCTACATCCGACTACCTTTGCCTCTACTTCAAAAACCCATCCCTTCGCCTATTGGCCCTGCCTACATCTATCTAAGTCCACCCCATTTCTCACGATTTATTCTTTAAGATGGCATCTGAACAGGTGTGCCTAGCAAACAGGAGACTTTTGACATTTGGGTTTTAGAATTATTGACTTATTTATTTGATTTACTATGGTGTCCAGTAATTTGAAGTGATCCTAGTTCGAGGCCCAGTACAAATATTCATAGTATACATAGTATGTATATGTAGAGTAGCGCTGTTTGGCTTGGAGCGAGCACTTCGCACTTTTGCTAGTTCATGTTAACTGAAAGGTCGTATTTTGGTCAGCCTGGAAACTACTGTGAGCAAGCAACTTTGTTCCAGTTGACCCTTTTGGTCGTGAGAATTTGCAGATTTTGACAAGGTGGCCTGTACAATTCAGTTGAGTACCATTCGGTGTGCTCATCTCATCAGGCCGAGCTGCGCCTGTACATCATGTGATGTAATTATATGGTTTTTATATGAAAGAGTTGCCGAGGAGACTGTCACATTCTTAGGAAAGGAACTGTTCCCTGACGACCGAGTTGTTCCGCCTTCCTCGTAGCAGCCGAGGACCTGCAGTCCTCCTTCGCTTTGCTGTTTCCAACAATCTCGTGTTTCCTTCTCACAGAAACCTTATAGCCTTACTCATTCAGCTCTGGCGCTCCAAAAGCTGGTCTTTCCCAATTCACAACTCAAAGAACCTTTTTTGTGAGTAAGTTAATGTCCATGGACACTGATGTGGGCACTTGGGGATGGATAAATGATGAACACTATCTGAAGATGGATGGGTGTGCAATTCAATGGCCAACAATGGCTGTTGGACCGCCTTCCTTCGACGTTTTGTTGGTGTGGTCACTGGCATTCCTTTGCACTCTCTCATACGCAGATTCCGCCTTAACGCGGTTGAATCACGGTATTCTGCCAGTTGTCTGCCTTAACGGCGAGTTATTTCAGGCTCCTCGCCGACGTCCACCACTGAATCGCTCCATTCCACCGATTCCTGAGTCGAAATCCAACGAGAGCATAATGAGCCACGCTTCACGGCGATCCAGCGAGAAGGTAATTTACCTATGGTTCACTCATAGAGTTTGTGATTTTTTTTCATTATCCACTCGTTCGGGGAAGGTCCCTGAAAAACAAGCGGGGCTGATAATTTATTTCTGTAGACCTTTTGCGTGGTGGATAGGATTATTCGGTGCATGCATAAAGGGCAGGGCTTTGAAAAACACAACACCTGGGTTCGTTTGAGCCCTTCGAGGATTAGTCTAAAGTCTGGCTATCGTTTAGGTGGTGCTCTTTTCTGAAAACGAATAGTTCCTCACGAAAGGTTCCAGTGGACTTGAGCAGAACATGGGTTTCAAAGGGTACAGCATCGTTGTGTGAAATAACATGGGGGGGGGGTCGTAGCTGGCCGCTGGGGAGGTGGTCGTATATGCCCTTGAGAGAAACTTTCCGCGTTGGAAAAAATTCTCCCAGTTGTTGACTTTTCGCGGTTTTCCCGTTTCACCCTTCCACACCCGCTCGACAGCAACACTGGTGAAAAACTGGTAGGAAGCTGGAAACTTGTAGAAAAGCTCGACAGCAACACTGATGAAAAACTGGTAGGAAGCTGGAAACTTGTAGGAAAGTGAGGGAAGTGGTAGGTAGGTGTTGGGGAATGGGAGGGGCCGTACCGAGGCCCTCCTTCGAGGGAGGGGTCTTACTGACGCCACAATTTTACACATCACGATGCTGTACCCTGGTTTCAAAGTGGTACTTTTACTTTCAGCTATATACATTACGAGGGCAAATGACAAGCATTTTTTGTGGAACTCCACTTTTTTGATTTCCCAAATGAGATTCCTATTTCAGGGAGAGCACTTGCAGCCCTCGGACTGCGTCGTGATCGAGAACCGTAATGTGGCGGAGCCGTTGCAACGTGGACCAAGGGCGACCACAACCACTTCGGTGAGTTCTACTTCCCTCCTGGCTTTGTCGCATGAGGGGCGATTGATTTGTGTAGTTTCGCGACGGAAATGCTTTGTTGTCAAATCTGGAGGGACAGAATACGACTCGGGAATGATTAATCTTCCGGCCGCTTTCATAAGCCCAGGAAGACGCCCGTTTCACATCGCCCCCACTCCCCCTTCCACTACATTCTTCCATCATCGCCCGTATTTCCGGTCATGGAACGTCGTGCTGTGTCCCGTGTAAGTCCCACATTTCCTTGGATGAACTTTCCAGTTAGTTCTGGGGTAACTTTGAAGGTCATTCAAATTCGATTTTGTTGCTTTTTCTCGTTAGCGCGTGCAGACGTCGAATTGCCAGCTTCTCTGTGGCGTTTTTCGTCCGTGTTCTTTCACGGCAAAACGGATCTTCATTGGTGTTCGAGAAGGGCATGTAAAGCAGCAGCTGTAATCAGCCCACGAATCTCTGATGCAAAGCGATTCGATTCGATGGCCCAACCAGAAGCTATGCGACGAACTCCCCTAGGAGCCGTAGCTCTATAAATTGCTGAGCTCAAGCGCATTTCTCATCCTGTCCGAAATCCTTGCCTCCTCTTCAACCATACTGCTTTCTTTTAGTTTCCGTTCTTGTGATTGTGAAGAACTTGTATTCATGCGAATAGCAATCCATTTTGGGTATTTGCGTCGCTTAAGATGACAGACGCGCTCAGTGACGCAGATAATCGCCCATGCGCTTCGAACATAGCCTCGTTTCCTGCAGTGAAGCTCTCCAATTCCTATTCCTCTTGCGGACTGCAAGTGAAAACCCATTCAATGCCAATAACACATCAATGAAAACCATTCAATGATATAATGATTTATTATCGGCAGTTTGGGGGCAGTTTGGCTATGGGGGGCATTTTGCACTTTTGCTGCTTCCCATCGACGTGTCCGCCCATCTAGAGAGCCTTTTCTTGAGTTGACAGGTTTTACCATGATGGCTCGATGACTTTCTAGTTTCACATGAGTTCACAGGTTTCACCAGAATGAGAGTTGTAAACCGGAACAAGCAGCAAAAGTGCAGAATGCCCCCTTCCCCCGTCGCCGAACTGCGCTGCTGTTTGCATATTTGAAACAAATCATGACTAGATACAAAAAAAGAAACATCCAAACTAAAAAAATAACGCGGTAACAAACAGAAGCTGCGCGAGCCGGAAAAAAGTGCCGGACCAGTACCCAACCAGTACTTCTCCACAGTTTTCATATCCTGGGTGTAACTCTGCAAAACGTGATGCATTTCGGCTACCTTATTGCAGAACTTAGCCTCGATTTATAATTGCTTATGGCTTATGGCTAGATCTGCAACCAGACAACACGTCCATTTCCCTCTAACGGACGTACTGAGGAAATCGAACCATCAGTGTTGGTGGTACATATTAACCTTTGACATTATTGACGTATTGAGGGTTTCCAGAAAGTGGCTTGGAGACAGTCCCCGTGCTTGAGTAACTCGTAGGCGTCCTTTCTTGTAAAAGTAGTCTGGCCCTCAGTCTCGTGAGAAAGGCGCTGCGGCCGTAGTGGCAGTTCTGATGGCGCATCTCTGCCTCCCTAGTTGTCCCCTCACAGAAAGTTAAAGGCTCATTCCTCCCACGATTTGTCTTTTGTCTCTTGTCTTCTCACCCCCCCCCCCGGCCCCACTGGTAGATGGTATTAGCTTCGCACGATGCAAAGAAAGGATTAGAGGTCTAAAGGCGGCAGGATATCGCTTTTCTGAGCTAAAATCGGCAGTTCCGGAGGTATCGCCTAAAGAAGCTGCCAGTTTCTTACTTGGGATGTTCTCCATGTCTTTTCTGCTTTCTTCTCTAGTGAGTCGCTCAGCGGCTATAGGTTTGTAATTGAACGTCACTAACCACAACATACAGTAGCGGGATTTGTCTTTAGTCGTGATGCTCACGGTCTGTCGGAATGCGCCTTGTACTCAGCGCGTAGTTCGAGTTTTCGCAGCAGGTGGCGAACCAAAACTACATCAACTTTCGGGCTACCCTTGTGGATCAAAGAGGATAAAGCTTCGCTGTTGACCAATCCCTTTTTGGGATGCGGCACGCATTCTACTTCCATTTAGAATGGTTCATTGAATGCGATGTGGACCTTTACAATGACTTGCAAGGGCCAGCCGATACAAGGAGTACAAGTCAGTGCTCTTATCCTCCCAGACGAATGCGGTGTCAGTTTACCGTTTCCATAGGGTAGAAGGCTTTTTGACGAGGGCGAAAGCCGATCCGAGACTCGACTTCGGACCGCGGTGAGCGTGTCCTTGCCACTGCACCCCCTGCGCCTCCACCTCCTTCTGGCCCTACTGAGGATTGGACATAGGTGAAACGGTCGTACGGCGACACAAACTTGAATTCACTACAAGGAACTCCATCACAGAGAGTTCTTCAGAGGGAAGGGCGTATTTAGTTGTGAGGAGGGGCCACCCTTCCTCTTAGCGAGTGATTTCACAGCAAGTCTCACTATTACTGCGTTTTGATGGACTGAATGTATTTGAACTCCCTGCTAGACGGATGCAGATTTAGGGAAGAAGGGGTGGGTGAACGAGACAGTCCTGCCTTGAAAATTTCTGCCATCAGGATAATGATGTGCATTGATATTATAGACACCATGTTGTCACGCTATGGCCATCCCAGAACCACACAACACTTACATATAATTTTTTGTTGGTCCTTCCTCTTTCACAGAGCATAGCACGAAAACCTCGTTATCCTTTTTATTCCGCCCCATCAATTTCTTTCAATTCGCACGACGATTAGCAGAGCGCGTAGTGTGTACCCAGCTATTCGTATCTAGTTCTAGATCAAGATGCATCATTTGAGTACGTAATATCAAGCAAATTGATAAAAAATAGTCGAAACCTAGGAAAAAATCGACAAGAATTAGTGAAATTGCTAAATAAAAAATATTTGTGAAGTAGTCCACAATATTTTCCGGTATGAGCAAACGTAAAATTGACTTTGAAAAGAAATGGTCCAAGGCGGGGTCAAAAAAACCGAAGTGGGCTTGTTAGCTAGTTTTGGAGAAAATAAAGCAGGGTGAGCCATCGACAGCGCCACAAATAAGGCTTTACTTGTTAAGGAGGCCGAAGATTCTTTGGTATCTAAAGGAGGAAGTATACAAGAGCAGCGAAAGAGCATGCAAACGGGCGAGACTGCAGAAACCAACGTGGGGCGCATTAATTTGCGCTTAGGAGTCTCTAGAGGGTCCTTTTCTTTGACGCTTCTATTTCACAATATTCTGACGCGGAACTGGTACAAGCGGAACTGTGCTTCACTACGGCTCGCACATGACTCTCTGATCTTCGTATGTCATAGCAAAACTGGACAACAAGCCGGAGTGACATAGTCTTCAGCATTAGTGGAGCTTCAGACTAGAAAAATGAGCGAAAGGGGTGCCTCCCCCGTAAGGTCCCTCGCGATGTCTAATGACGATTTAGGCGACGTTTTATGTACTTTCACATAGTGCATGTAATCCGAAGAGGGTTCTGCAAATTCCCGAAGGATCTAGAATTTCCTGTTCTCAATCTTTTACAGATTCGATAGCTAAGGAGAAAAGGTGGGTGCTTAAATGTTTTCGTTTTCTCTCCTAAATAATTTTCTTTTAAGATACCTCGACCAATCTTTCCAAAGAGATCAAGTGACCAAAAGAAGGACCAAAAACTTGGACGAAGTGCCGAGTCGACTCCACGAAGCCCGCTGATGACGGTGGCGAGGACAGTGAAGAGCAAATTTTCAAAATTGACCAGAATGGGACGACACGAGCAGGACGTCTCCATGAAGGGCAGTCAGAGCTTCTCAGGGTGAGTTCCTTCCCAATGACATCTAAAAAGCAGTAACAAGACTGCAGATTTACTATTTCCAGAATTCGACAACCAAAAGCAACTGTACCAAAGCGGATAGACCAGAATGCAAATCGAGTCATCAAATCGTCCTCAATGGAGGTACCGTCGACCAGTCAGGAAACATCCACTTCTAGACATATGGTAGGGGAAAGAAGGAGTTTTTTTCAAAATACGCTCCATGACTTTGACAATCTTCAGGTGGTGATCCCGCAGAATCCCAAGGGGCTAGAGGATTTCTCAGAGGAAGCTTCATTAGCTGAACAAGGGAAAGTTGACGACGATGTGGTGATGGAAGAACCTCCAGAGGCAATTGTACCACATGCTGACGACGGCCCGACGGCTCACCAATCCCTTTCGGTGACACTGAATGAAGATCTGCTTGTCGTCACGAAACAAATTGACTCAGCTGAACACAGGTAAGAATTAAGCCTTAAGCTGTACGCATGAAGTTTGTGCTCGCGCTACATCTGACCATGAGAAAAGGCGCCCATCAGTGGAGATGACGAGCTGCGAAATCTGTGTATCTTTGACTCCAAGGACCAGAGCCATAAATTGCATCGAGATTACCAAATTGCATTAGTTTTGAGTCCTAGCTGTTGGACTGGCAAGAAAGTCCTGCGACGCTTGAAAGAGCACTCTCGCTCAAGGCCCTGGTCGCATAGCCCAATGCAGATACCCGGGAATAACCCCGAGTTCAGGCCGCATTCATTCCACAGTGTACACTCTAGTTCGCTGCGGACGGTTGGGCGTGTCAGCCAGTATGAGTGTGTCACCCCGTCAAAGCCGTTCTCTGCCTTCTTGTTGAAGCGCGCATGCGACAAAAAGTGGTAGAAAACGAGTAATACGAAGGATATGATACAGTATTATCACTTGCCCGCTTCAACAACTGGTGTAGAACGAGTTTGGCACCGCGCCAAACGCAGCCGCACTGACACGCCCAACCGTCCGCAGCGAACTACACTATACCCACCGTCTCGTTTATCAGAAAAGATATTCGCAAAACTATCTCATAAGTAATGGCAGTGTCCCAGTGATGTTGGTTCGCATTTTTCTTCACTCTGCACACTGGAACAACCAAGTGGGTGGTAAAACTAGGCTGCTCAGCGTAAACCATGCACGATCTCACGTGATTGAACTTGAATGGATCTTTCAAGAAGGAAAGCAGTGCGCAGTGGCAGAGAAGAACGGGCATGAAAAAGACTCAACATGTTACTGGCAGGGCTAGAAGTAGTTGTTGTTGGGTAGATGAACAGTAAAGACGGCTGGTAGAAAGTCTGAAGTCTGAAGTCTTCGCCATTGACCGGTCTCCGTTTGGGATGCGGCACGCATTCTACTTCCATTCAGAATCGTAGTGGCTTATTGAATGCGATGTGGCCTATACAATGACTTGCGGGGGCCAGCCGATGTACAAGTCAGTGTTTTATCCTCCCTAGATGAACCTGCCTCCCCCCCCGCCCCATTCACCGTCCCCGCAGGGTACCATGCCTGGTCGGTCTTGGCGAGAGGCGATCCGGGATTTGACCCACGCTTGCGGAACGTGCAATTTGCCACTACACCACTTCCTCCTAACCACTAGCATACCTAGTCCGATAAGTTCAAAAGACTGACGTCACATTTGTGAATTTTGTCTGAGATTGTCAAATATATTCCTATTCCATGAGAGCCAGCATTTTTATCTGCCGACGATAGCATATGAAACCGTTGCGGATCTCGGTGAGACCTCATTACCACACACAGCTTACTTACCAGCCTTAGCAGCTTCTGACTACCACCTAGTTACAGTACTGATGCATCACTTACGTAGTCACCGGAATTCGGGGAGAACAGAAATAAGAAGCTGCCCAACAGATAGATGCTTGTCCCAAGCATCCACTGTGATTTCCTCGTTGATTGAACTGCTCAGTCACTTAAGGAAAAGCAAAATTACCTTTCAAGTGCTGAGGGACTTTTTGGGACTTTTTTCCAACCTAATATTTCAAAGGCAACCCTGAGCTCCTTAGAGTCCAACGATGTAAGTTCCTATCACTCCAAGGATAAAATGCTGGCCTTGAATGTTGCCACGGGAGAAGGGTTGTTTCATCAGACGCCAAATTCAAGAGCTGCTTCAAAGACTGTAAGCACTCAACAACTCCCTTCAGATGTCTACGATTCCGCCAATGGGCTGCCACAAATGTACAAGGGGAGAGGGTTGTGAAAAAGCACTTCGCTCATGGAGCTAACCTGAAAAGCTTGTACTGGGATGATTGACAAGATAATTGGGACATTCACTTTGTACACTGCTCGCAATTGCGTAGTCTAAGTCAGTCAAAGTAAGGTGATTGAGGTCCCACGGTCCTTGGCCATCAAATTGATTATAGGGTCGAGTTATAGGAAGCCAATTGTCTCCAGAAACTTGCAGCCTGTGAGCCTGCCTTGAAATGCGCTGCATCTCCAGGCTCTTGCAGATAGGCTCTTATAGCTTGATGATGGTGACGGGTATTCCCTCTTTGTCACTGTTAGTAGAGGTAATTGTGTAGTTCTTGCTCCGTACTATTAGGTTGTTCGAAAAGTCCTGCGACACTTTGTTTGAACTATTCTAGAAAAAGACCAAAAATCATTTTGAATGTTTTTATCTCTGATTAGTGGAGACTGTCTCCTGGGGTTTCTGAAAATGGGTATATCATGGCTCCGTGGAAGTTTTCAAAGCTTAAAAATACCTCAGAGATCGAGGTACTTCTCGACCTATCCCATATTATGAGTTCCTGTAGGGCAACTCCGCCATAGTCGAGGAAGCTAACACTTACGTTGTCTTGAGGAAGGATATCGCTTGCCATAGCAGAGAGTTCCTTTTGCATCAGCGCTTCCAGGCTGGACTTATTCAACTCGGAAGTAGGCAATGTATAGGTCGGCCACCAGCACAGAATGACGGCCCTTTACTCAAGCTTCTTGAGGCGCAGCCGAACGTAACCACCAGTAAGTTGGCAACCTCTCTAGGCTCCACCTAACATGACGAACGCCGCGCTCTCCGCAATCTCGGTTATCGGAAAAAATTTTTTTATGAAGGATGCCTCATGAGTTGAACCCCTCTGACAAGTCATACCGAATGACCGTGACTGAGTTTTTTTTTGTACACACTGGAGGAACATTTGTGAGATCTTGTGGTTGGTAGAGAGTGGATGGGGTCCTTGCGTACATCTTGCACATGTTCCTCGCAGGATCTCTCAGAGAGAAAAGTAGATTGCACAGCCAAAAGCAGATGTGCATGGGATAAAGATTTCAGTAGGTTATTGGTGGGACTTCAAAGCGGTATCTCTGGATACTAGCATAACGGTAAGGACTACAGTCCACTCTAACCAACCTCACAACATGGATGACGTCACGCTTGAATTCTTCAAAATACTCAATTTTTCTCTACCGCCGCTCGCAATGCGAAAGACCGCATGTTAGGATCAGGCCACACCAAAAGATCGTGGATCTTGATCTGAGAATGCGACCATACCCAGCTTATTCATCAAAGTTAGCAGTCTCTAACTACTACCATTTTTGATCCCTACCTCATCCTTAAGAAGGGAAAATCGACGTCTACTCAAAAATGAGGTCCACCTCTTCTTCTTTTATATGGGGTTATATTGTTGCCGTAGTTCTATAAGAATGGAAATGAGAAGCTGTGCAAAAGAAGGGCACTAGTCCTAGTCCTTAGTGGTGATTACCTTGTAGATTGGAGATGTCTTTTAGTGACTGAAAATTTAGTCCGAAAAATTGGTCAAAGTGTCGCAGGACTTTTCGAACAACCTAATAGATCTCAGATGGTTCTCTATGCTCCTCGTCACCCTATGAAGCGCAGATTCAATGGTGTGTGCCTTGGGCAAAACGTCTTGCTTCGCCCTCTTCTCCCTTTCACCCTAGATTCTCACGTTGTCAGTATTCATGTGGAAAACAGATAATGTTTCGAATTTCAATGATTTAACGTGTCATTGTGTACCTAGTTTCTCATAAACGCTTTTTTCCGAGGAATATTTGGACCTTCACATGAGGAACCCGAAAGAGGAGTCTTCCCAGTGTGGCTTTTCATGACATACTCGTTTCAACTGAATACTTTCCCTCCTCTGCCACTAAACCCTCCAACCCTGGAAAAAATTGACAGCTTAAGACCCGTCAACGATTATGAACACGTGAATTGACATTTGATTGACTATTATTAACAGAATCGAGCTCACAGTCTAAGAAAGGGAAGCGATTTGAAAATAATGGAAACTTTGATTTTGACGGCGATTGACAGATCCGTGTCGTTTTCGAAAATGGCCTCGAAAAACCACCTCTTTCAGAGTAATGAGTGTGCGCTTCGGTTTATGTTCCCTTTAGGACACTCGCGGTTCTGATAGCCGTATGGAAATATGGAGCGTAGTACATGCAACCCGGAGTTGGAGAGGGAGTGGTCGCGTAATGCAAAGGCCTAGAATGCGTTTTCCATGGAATATTTCCATTTCATTCAACTGTCTGTTTCTTGTACAGGACAAAGACAGGATTACAGTAGCCTCAAAAGTAACATCCCACCAAAAAGACAGCCGCGCTACGTCCAAATGAAGTACGCAGTCATGCCCACTCCATCTCTGGGATATCGCATGTGCTACGGGGTAAACAGTTCCTTACGCACAATACTTTATTGTGAAGCCATTGTACCTGAAAATAAACAGTGGCTCATTGAAACGAGATAGAAAATCAAAATGGCTGGTCTGTTCTACCTGTTCTAGTTGCCGCTCCAACAAAAAGAAGGAAGTGGAAGAAATAGCGTGGAACGGGGGCCCATAAAAGGTTCAATTATAGACGCCTGCGGTTTCGTAGTACCATAGCGCTGGGATATAGCTCCATCTTGCATCTGTGATCACTGGAATGTTGTTCGAAAGTAGTTTAGTGGTAGAATGTTCGTCTGGTAATCGGGAGACCCGAGTTCGATCACCGGCTACTGCACCATGTTGTTATCCTTCTTCCATGTTGGGTTCCATTGCGCGGAAATCAATAAAGCTAAGAACTGTACAATCGCCTCCAAACAAAGCCAATGTAGCTTACAGAAACAACAGCAGCTGTCCATGAGGGCTCTTCGTTTCAGAGCTTCCGTTATATCCCGCCCTACACTCCTTATCCCTGAGCCAGAGTAGGCGTGGCATTTGAACATGGCACGGAACTGGTTACTCGTGGAATATTCCAGTCTGGGACAACTGTCATCTTGTTCTGTGTTGGACAGAGACACGACAACAATTGTGTCAAGATGAAAATATCTCACCAGAAGCATAGACACCTTCAGATTAAGTTGAAACATGTGCCGATCTCATGGTCAGGGATTTTGAGTATGGCTGGGGGTGGGCTTTCCCATTGAATGATGGTATTATCGAGACCGAGGTCGCGACAGAAAGGAGCGAACTATTTAAAGTGGAACACTCAGTTTGCGGCCTCTATTAAAGACACGTGGTACGATCACGCATAGTTTGGGTGTACAGGGGGGGGGGCCAAAAAAAAGACTTTTTTCTTCCTCGACTTTCGAGGCGCTATAAGTTACACTTTATTAAATTTTTATCGGACATTTCTACCACCATATTAAAGAGCATATTAAATACTATCATGATACTCCGCCACAGCCTTCTGGAGGAGCGCCATCGAGAGATTCTGCCACGCGACCGTCAGTGGGTGCCTGAGTTCAGCGAGATCGTTGATTTCTCCGCCACTGTAGACCACCCTATTGAACTCCGCCCGAACCAGGTAATTGAGGGGGTTTAGGTCAGGTTACCTGCTTAGATATTCCACCTTATTCAGGTACTCAACGCCCTTCCATTCCAAGTAGGCAAGAGTTTTCCCAACGCCCTTTGATTCCATGTGGTGTCACCCAATCCTGTAGCAGTACAAAGTTTCCAAGAAGGTACGGGCGACGACATGTGGAGAGGATATTCTTCTCGAGTTGCTCGATGTAACCGCCAGCGCTCACCTTTAGTCCGGGGCCCACGAAGAAAATATCGGTCTCTCCATTCCAGGTACGTCCGGTCCCCACCATCAACTGGCGCCTTGGCGACTGTGGTGAAGATGATGTCCTAGACCGTGGCGACGTTGTCGGAGCTGCTCGATGTTGGAGGTCATCCAGATCGAGAGTACTGGTCTCCAGGTAGCTGTTTGGAGGTGACATGAATTCCGAAGGTCTTCTCCAGTCAGGTTGCGACTGGAGATGACTTCATATTTTGGTGTACATGAAGGTGATGGGCGAGAGCCAGCTCCTGCTTATAGAGGAACATCTTGGGTATCTTCCGCCCTGGTACTCGTATCCACGTCTCTCTCTGGGCAGCGAAAACTTTGCTGATATGTGACTCGGTCGAAATGTCTTTTTTTTTGGCCCCCCTGTATGTGACTAACAGCCCCCAGCTGTCGAAGCGTAGCGGTTTTCCCGTCCTAACATGCGCAGGAATGGAGATACAGGACCGTGAAACACGCTAATTCCTCCATGCTCCGCCCAATACCTTTTGCGGCGCAGACTCCCGTTCATGCTAACATCCGTCGTGTGCGCGCGTGTCGCGTGCGGCTCTCTTGGCACTTTGCCAAGTCCTGTAATTGCGCTTTGAATACAAGTAAAACGCAATTTCCTGATGCGGATAACATTTGAGGTGTTGCTCATGCTTCAAAGTCCGAATAGAAGGTGATGTGACAAAGGCTAGAAATGAAGAACAACGAATGTAGATGCGAAAAAAAGAAAAAATTAGGGAAATGCAAATTAATTAAAATCGCGTGTAAATTTCCTGCGATCCGGCGCGACCCACCCCCAAAGCCATAGAAATACTTTGAACTAAACGCTTAGGCCGTTTTTATTTTCATGTTTGTGGAAATGCGCGGCCTCCGAGGGATATTGCAGAAGCAGCACAGTTGCTCTTGAGTTCTGGCCCTCGTCATCATCTTCGGTTCTTATTTTGCAGCACCTCAAATGTTATCCGCATCAGGAAATTGCGTTTTACTTGTATTCCAAAGCGCAATTACAGGACTTGGCAAAAAGCCAAGAGCCGCACGCGACACGCGCGCTTACGACGGATGTTAGCATGAACGGGAATCTGCGCCGCAAAAAGGTATGGGCGGAGCATGGAGGAATTAGCGTGTTTCACGGTCCTGTATCTCCATTCCTGCGCATGTTAGGACGGGGAAACCGCTACGCTTCGACAGCTGGGGGCTGTTAGTCACACACACCCAAACTATGTGTGATCGTACCATGTGTCTTTAAGTCCCAGGCTCTTCTCCTGACCGTTCTGCGGGTGCCTACGATGAGTTACTGCGGGCTTTTTCGATATCCATTCTCGTTGCTGGGGATACTGGGGCGTGCCAGGGGAATGCAGCTGTCCCTAGCACGTTTCGCATCGGTCGGTCTCGCATTTCCTCTTCAACAATTGAAGAAGAACGGATTGGCGCCGCGCCAACCCAATACCCTTACGCAACCTAGCATCCGCCGTGGACAAAACCTTTATAACTTGCCTGGGAATGCTTCTATGGTTCCGGGAAAACAAAATTTATCGTAAAAACTGTTTTTCCAGCGAGACGACAACGACGGTGATCAAGGAGGAAGAGAAGGAAGAGCAGACAACCGGAGCTCCAGGAAAAGTTACCATCAGTGAAGAACATGAAACGATTTACACCTACAACGAATCGGATAAGATAGCACCCAGTATTCCACAGTCGCCAAGTCATCCAGTAATTGAGGAGACGGTCACCGAGGAAAAGATGCGGTCACCTGAGACTGAAGCTGCACAGATTGTTCTCCATTCGTGCCTGAAAACTCCGCAGTGTGCAAGGAAACACCATACCTTCGCCCTGGGAGAAAAGATTCCCGACACATCAAGCGCGCTGAAAGCCATTGAACCTAGCGAAACCCGAGGTAGATCGGAGATGAAGGATTCACCTGAAGTACGGGAGCTCAGTCCCGCGACCCGGTTTCTGATCAATGTGAAAACCCCTGAAGCGCTAAGGAAGCACAAGGCATTCTTTATCGGTCAAAGTGATCCCTCAGCTAAAATGGCTGTCGAAGAGAGCTCGCAGCCTAGAAAGAAAAAGAACGTCAAAATTGTCAAGCAGCGCTCAATGCCGGAAAAGTCATCAGTCTCTCCAGAGCGCTACGTTCTCACTGTGAAGACTCCTGAAGCCCTTCGACGACATCATACGTTCACCATCAGGGAACGACCCAAGAGTCCAGACGTGCCGTACATTGAAGAAGGCGAAATCACCGAACCGATTGCGACGGTTGGTCCAACAGCTGAAAAGGCGAAAAAGGAGAAAGAGAAGGAGGAAAAACGAGTGGGCGAAGGAAAAGCGGTCTCGAGCAAATTAGCGATGGCTCTCAGAACACCATTCACGACGAGAAAGTACAAAACGTTTGCTGTGCAGGAGAAGCCCAAAGAAGGAAAGGTGCCAAATTCCAAAAGCGCCGACGCTATCGTTCAGACCAAAGTAGAATCTACCGAACAAACGGCTCCTATCACTACACCGCACGTCAAAAGAAAGCTGAAGACGACTGACGACGATGCAAAAACTGAACATCCGGAAAAGTTCATTCTTACCTCAGCAACCACTCCAGCCACAATGAGAAAAGCTCATGCGTTTGTGATCGAAGACAAGCCGCCAGCAGAAGAGCCTGTGAAATCGCAGCGGATCGGGGACACCGAGGCGATTGCAGTGCTTGAGAAACAAGAAGAGCTCGCTGACGACGTGCCATTGAAGACTTCAGATATGTACGTGCTGACAACAATGACCCCTTTGCCCCAGAGGAAAGAGCCAGTCGATTCACACTTAGAGCGAATTGCTAGGGAAAGAACGAGGGCCACGTCACGCTCACCTGAGAAAGTCAGCCTGTTCATAATGAGGGGCAGAACAACGCCTCGCGTCTCGCAGCAGGGATCAGAAGAGGAGGTATCGCCAAGGTTCGCAGTGGTACCACCTCAACGAAACGAGCTGGAGCTGGACACCACAAGAAGAGAGCGAAGTCAGTCCGACCGAGCGGAGTTCATTGAGAGGAAGAACAGCGAAACATCGGTAATTCCGGCAATTTTCCTCTCTAAGCTGTATCTTAGTTGAATTAATATTGACATTGCAGGACGAAATGACCTCACCCGAGGAAGAGATTCCCATGGACACTCATCTGACGCCAACTGAGGAGGTGCGTGACGACGCGCTTATCATCAGGCCGATAAGACGTCCACCAGAGGTCACATCGCCGATTGCCGAAGAACCCGAAATGTCCATCAGTGGAACACCAGTCGTGGAAACGAAATCGTCTCTCGTGGGGGCCCAACAAGAAACTAAAGCCCCTCAAGGTATGTTTTCCTCGTGTGTAAATTGAATTGCTACTAATTGAATGAACTCGTTAAGAACCTCCCGTCTTCAAACCGCCTAGCCCACCAAAGGAGACATTCAGGACAATCACTTTATCGAAGTCAACATCACCACTCAGAAGACGAGGAAGTCCCGAGGTGGGTTATATTTGGATTATTTTTTGCATTTAGATCCGCATGAGGGAGGGCGCAGCTCCGAATGCGGCGAGGGCTAGACGAAAGAGAAGTTGCTACGTATCATAAGAGAGGAAAATCGGCACGGGAATACGCAGCCGTCGTCGTAGAACCACCTTTACCCCCTTCCCTACCCCCCCCCTCCCCCACATGGGCGATATGGCCTTCTGATGCAGGCATACCGTTACAATCTGAAATATGTGTACATGTTGGCCCACTCCTTTATGTTTTCTGTAGCATTGGGATTTATAACCTTCGGCTCCGTGTTCCTTGCCCGTTGCTATCGCTACTGCTATTGCCTCAAATGGGAAGGAAATGTCGTCTGCTCTCGAGAACAGCGCTAAATACCCTAACAAGAAAGCACAGGGCCTCTCAGCTTTGAACTCCCATCGCTTTTAATAATTCTGAAAATTCGAGATCTGTGGTGAAGTGGGCCCAGGGTTTTTAACTTGTTGATTGAGATTGGTTGACTTGGTTCATTGGTTCTGGTACAGCTCTAATTCTTTCAGGCAGCGTTCAAACTTGCGATGACGCACTAGGATGAAATCTTTTCTTGAAAAATCTTTTTGCTAGCAGGGGAAGAAACCGGGAGTTGTATTTTCCGATAAATTTCTCCAACGGTAGGGGGTGCCCTGATTGGTCGACGCCCAC